AGTCGCCATAGCCAGTTGAAGAGAATTCATATCTGGTTACGATATCTTGAGTACTGTGTGGGCGCATGTCGCCAGTTGCTGTACCGCTGTTTGCAGGCATGACAAAGTGGGAAGAAGACGAGTTTGATTTCACTAGTACACCGCCCCAGCCTTGCAGAAAGTTTTTGTCGCCACAAGCAAAACTTTGAGGTGCCGCGCGGCCAGGCCCGCCGTTGAAAAAAAAAAATCGGCAGCCTCCGAAGTGGTGCGGGTTTCATGCTGACACCTGCGGGCGATATGTGGTTTACCGGTGGTTTAATGCAGGGACCAAAAAGATCGGACTCCAAGGAGCAAAAAGGGTCATAAGTACTGGTGGTTTGATGCAGGAAACAAAAAGATAAAGAGGGGCAAAGCTGAAAAAGGGAGGGTAAGGCAAGGAGGTGACTCCAAACTGTGAAGCAAAGGAATGACTCCACAGATAGACAAGGGAAGGGAAGGGAAGGGAAGGGAAGGAGGGAGGGTCAAAGGAAAGAAAAGCGCAAAACGTGTGGCTTAGAAATGAGAAGGTGGAGTGGAGGGAGTAGGCTCAACGGAAAGAAAAGCGCAAAATGTGCCTTCGGAAATAGGAAGGAAAGAGTTCGGGAAGGGTGGGAGGAAAACTGGGAAAGGGCAACAATTGGATGGTACACACCTGAACTGAAGTGTTGAAAATTGAAATGCAGACCTGAGCGCGAACTCGGCTGGATGGCAGATTGTGGAAGGAAAGGAGAGGAAGCGACGAGAAAAAAAAAAGAGGAAGTAGGGACGTAGAGAATGACAGCTGGATGAGGGAGGAGACTAGGGAAAGAGGGAAGGACCAAGGAAGAAGGGTGGGGGGAAGGGCTCAGGAGGGAAGGAGGGGGGTTAAGGTCGGGGTGAGGTAGTAGCAGCAGGGGGCAGACGGGCAGGGCACGGGGGGAGGACAGGGGGGGCGGGGTTGTTGTGTGCGCAGAAGGAGGTCGATGCCACTCAATGGAGGATCGACGACACTGCGATAACCTAGCACAGAGGGGGATCGAAGTTTAGAAGTTATGGGACAACAGCAATTGTCATGCTACAAAAGTACAAATGCAATGCATTAAGTTTTGCTTTGAACTTTTCCGTACAGAACGGAAACGTCTCTATAATGTAACTTTTTTTGCGGCAAATGTAATGCAGCATGAAGCCAACTTTGAAATTATTAATCATCAGTGTCACCAAGTATGTTTTTTTTAATGTTTGTAAAAGAACTGGCTCATAAGATTAATCATCAGTGTCACCAAGTATGTTTCTTTTTTAGTACAATTATGGGGTGTCCAAGTCAGTAGTCTTCATTAGGCGTTCCCATAATGTTTTTCTTAAAGATCACCACAGGTTTCACAAGAATTAGTATGATCTGTTAAAACTTAAAACGCCACAAGCATCTCTCTCATTTAACTGCCATTTCGTCAAAATGGACATTTTTTATTTTTTGAACGAAATTGAAACCGAGAAATTTGGCTGAAAACAGGTCCAAAATTTTGGCTCCTGAGGGTCTGGCGTTCGTAAAACACCAGACCCCCTAGATGTATGTGGACTTAGCTCGAGAACAGGTAGATCCAGGGGGTCAGGCGTTTTAAGGACGCCGGACCCTCGTGAGCTAAAAATTTGGACCTGTTTTTGGTCAAATTACTCGGTTTCAATTTTCGTTCAAAAAATAAAAAATTGTCCATTTTGACGAAATGGCAGTTATTTGAGGTGCGCTTATATCATCATTCCCGCCCGAAATTGATCTAATTTCTGAGACCGGATTGGATTTTACGGATGTCAGTGGGAAACAACCATTATATCCTTGTTGATAAGTAATGAATTAGCGAGCAGTGATGATCACCAATGCAGTTGGAGGTGGATCAGATGGAGCTTTGAAGAGACTGTGGTGGGTCCACATCTGATGGAGGTTTCTGTTGTTCATGCTTTGTCCAATTATAGTATTCTCACATTCTAGCAGCGAATCCGTTGAAGGATGATTTGCACGACGGCAATGGCATTGCCCTTCTTCCAACTGAGGGAGAACTGGCAGGTGATTGTCATGGCGATGGGGAATCGTCATCACGAAAGCCGTCCATTCCAACGGCATCAAGGGAACTCTCAAGGGAACTCTTCATCAACAAAGGACAAAGCTCTGCACCTAATCGAAAAACGAGTACGGTATCGAAAACCCGGGTCAGAAAAGGACAAAGCTGTAAGAAAGAGAGATCTTCAAGTCGACGTCATGTTGCACGTATGGGGGTCGTAAACCCATCTGGAAGCAATTTGGAGTCTACTACAGAACATGGCCATCATCAATCATGTCTAATTGGTCTGATTGGTCAATCGTCGCAGAGTGGTGTACTTGATGAGGATCATAGCCGCAACAAGAACGCTTTGAATCGCGGCTTGCGATACCTACGTGCAATTCAGGCTGTCAATGACGTGATTGTCGACCCATCACCACGACCGCTAGAGCCAGATCAGCCACAGTTGCCTGCACAGCACTCACAGGAATGGCGAGTCGGGGGAGTGCAAAGTGATATCATGATGGAAAAAGGCAAGGCCTTTGATACTGAAACTATGGGTCCAAGTTGTACGGGACTGCTGGGTAAACCCAGAATTATGCCTTTCGGCGGTCCTGCTACAGGACCTACTAGGTCCCCGGCAGAAGTCAAAGATGATATATCAGTAAGTTCCCCGGTAAAAGGCAAAGACAGCCCACCTGGTTCCCTTGCTACTAGGGTAAGTAATGTGAACGTTGAATGCGAGGGGCTCCCGGTGACCTTCCCTCCTCTTTGTCAGGCCATGGGCCAGGTTCATGATCTAACTTGTTGTGATGAACTAGAATATCATCAAGATCCAAGCTTAGGAGCAAGTGTTGATGCTGCTCCATGGTGTCCTGTCTCTTTGAGCTCAAGCAGTTTAGGAGAAGACTTAGTGGTGGTGGGTTATCCCCTCAACTTTCATGAAGCACAGATGCAGCGTATCCAGTTCAACAAGCCATATTTCTGCACACCGTCCTCTTTTTCCTCCTTTACTCTTTCATCATCATCATCAACAACAACATCGTCATTATCATCATCAGCATCATTATCATCATCGTCGTCATCATCGTCATCATCATCCTGGTCACCATCAACCTTATTTTTATCACCATCATCAGCTTCATCATCATTATCGCCATTGTGGTTGTCACCATTGTTATCATCATCACTGTCCTCCTCCTCCTCCTCCTCCTCCTCCTCATTGTTGACGCCATCCTCATTCTCATCTTCAGCACTATCATCATCGCCATCGTCACTGTCATTGCCGTCACCACTGTTGTTGCCATCATCTGGAGAAGAGACTCCAAGCATCATGTGGCAAGCCCGAAGCCATGGTGGTCAAAATGAGGGAGAACTGGAGCAGGAGCCATCGTCATCATCGTCATTATCATCATCACCTCCACCACCATCATCATCATCATCATCATCATCGTCTTCTCTTGGTACATTTGGCATGTCATCACTCTCGTTGAACGAGTGGCCACGTCTCAGTGTTGTGGAGCACTGTCTTGGTCAGGGAGATATTGATCAGGTGTTTCCCTTTCTAAATGCTCATCATGATTGTATTTCTGAGTCTAAGTCCATTAACTACTTTGATGTAATGAAGAACCCGAATCCATTCTCTGCGTCTGTTGATTTCGATCTTGATCTCGTTAAGAGCTTGCATGAATGCTCTGCGGGCGTTGATTTTGATCATGTTCCGAACTGGGGTCGATGCTCCGAGTCCGTTGATTTTGATCTAGGTGAGAACTGGCGTCAATGCTCCGACGTAAGCTCAATGGCTGCAGTCTCCACACTTGCCGAGTCTTCGACAGAAGTCGGAAGGGATCAAAGGGGTGAACAGCAGAGAGGTGCAAAGCGAAGAGTGAAGCGTTGGGTTGACTGTGCTTCGGAGACGGAACGATGTGAAGCAGGAAGACGTAAATTGCGCCCGAGTGGGGATAATGAGGACAATAATGATGGTGACGGTGATGGTGATGATAACGATGATGGTAATGCGACTGTTAGCAGAATTATGATGCCATCGTCGTCATTATCCGAGACCGACTTTCCCTTGTCCATGGCTGCTACTGATACCTGCTCGGAGTTTGAAAGTGGAGACTTCTTGGTTTGCGGACAGGAACCATCGGAATTAGAGAGAATAACAGCAGCAGATCGTTTCGGTGACATGAAGTTCGTTATCCACAATTATAGTCGTAGTTGCAATCGACATGCTGAGGATGAGGTGAGTGAATTAATCCATTCACTTGTTGTTGGTGGTGTGAATTGGAAGGAGGAAGACGGTTCTCACATGAACGACGACAATCCATTTTCGAATTCGGATCAGGGGGTAAGATTTGATGGCTATCGCCTTTACGACGATCGACTCGGAGGATATTCTCGTGAAGATGGAATTGGATGTGAAGAAGATGCTCCAAGGCCGTGGGAACTACAGATCGATAACGAGCTCCGTAAACAAATAGAGGATATTAATGTTCTAGGAAACCTGGGTACGTAACACAATCCACAACAGCGAGTCGTCGCACTGAGGGGACACTCGATGAAGAAGAAGAAGAAGCAGCATACACCACAAGAAGGGGGGCCTCAGAATGAATGAATATATGTGCTCACATGTCGATGAACTCTGCCAGCGCATTCTCTGCCTCGGGAGAGTGAGCCTTAATACACTTGCAGCAGGAAACCCCAACTGCCACAAGTTTTTGTCCTGCGATTATAATCGACACTATCGGTAGTGTTAACTTTTTTCTTTTTCTGAAGTTCATCGAGTTGATACAATCCACCCACCCTTGGGATGGCATTAAAAACCTTGCTCACATTTTCGTGCATTTCTTTGCAGCCCCCAATCCCATATGAATGACAAGTATTATTTTAGAAGGGGATCTAGTGGGAGCACTGATTCAGATCATTCAGTGAAATTGTAGGGTCTGGGAGGGAAAGCAGCGTATACTTCACTCTATTATTATGTAATGTTTCACATCAATTATTATTATTATCTTAAAGATTGAATTGTAGCAAAAGGATTTGAATTTTGAAAAGTAAAATAGTAGTATGTTCCATTGTTGTTATTATTATTATTTTTAATCAATTGTTATGTCATACAGTGGATTGAGGAAAAATTCGAGTTATAAAAAAAAGAAAGATAAAGGAGGGAATTCCCGGAATTGTGGTAAAAAGGACACGTAGCAACAGGCAGGGGGGCGGGGGGCGGGGGGCTTGGAATCACTTGGTTTAGGGTTTGGGGTTTGTCTTTCCATCTCAGGGCTGAGGTTCTCTGCACTAGTATATGCTTCTTTGCTTCTTATCTGCAGCCAACGATGGCCAGGAGGATCATCGCTGGTTGGGATGGACGTTAGCTGATGCTGGTTAGCGCAGTCGTTGATGGATGGATCAGGATCACCACCTCATCATGATGGTGTTTCCAGATGGACCTGGCCATATCTTCAAGACCGTCTTTGTTGCAGAAGCGCCAGAGAGATGCCATCGGATTCGTCAGCATTGGATCTCTGTAGCATCTACATCACAGTATCTTACTGAGAGATGACATCATTCTGTTCATCTGGTTCCATCATGATCTGAATTCGAAATGATATATATCATATTCCGTTATGATGGTCTTTCAGATGATAACGGACCCAAGTTTGGAATCCAGATGGATGAACTGCAGTTATGACAGAATTCCGTCATTCGTAATCAGTTACGACAGTATTCCATTATGTAAGCATTCTGTTACGAGTCTTATCGACTCTTATGAGAGCATTCCCTCACAAAAGCATCGGTGATTGGAAATAGCGTAAACCTTTGACAAATTTGTGGGGAGTTATGGGACGAAGATCACAATGTTTCAGGGAGCTACCATGCAAAGATGCCAGCATGAGATGATACGTGTGAACAGTTCAGCATGATGGAAATTCTAGATGGAGATGGAGATGAAGACGGCATGTTAGTGATTGCAAGAAGGTGATGATGGGTGAGGTGCGGAGAAGAGAAAAAAAGATCATTGACAAAGGTGGGAAAGAAGAAAACAAGATCATGATAGTTTGGGAGGAAAAGTGGCCTCTTAGACCGAGCATTATGCGAAGTCGGTAGGTTCAGGAAGGTGCACCTCGCTGTACACGTCACAGGAAAATGACATACGCCAGAGCAAGCAGAGGAGGAGGAGGAGGCAGTGGTGGTGAGGGTGGTAGAGGAGACGAAGTAGCAGATGTAGGAGAAGATGGAGTAAGGGGGAGGATGTGATGGTGGTGGGGGAAGAGAGGCGGACGAGGAGTCTGGAGGAGGGGATGAAGACTCCTGCTAACTGTGGGTGGTCTTCCTCGTGTCTGCATGTAGGAGAAGATGTAGTACTAAGGGGGAGGATGTGATGGTGGTGGGTGAAGAGAGTCGAAGGAGGAGGTGATTGATTTCTTGTTGACAAGGCTGTTGTGCAGTATATGAAGGGAGGGATTCAGCTGAAAGGTGGCATTCTACTCTGATGATTCCAATGCAGCCAGTGAAGTTGTGATGGCCCTGTCAGTGAGGGGGGGGACTTCAATCACATTGTGACAGCATTTCCCATGATCATCATTTGCAGACTTTTATCACATCGTGACAGGTTTTCCCATCATCATTGCAGCAACATGATTTGCTGTCGATGTGGCGTAGCAAAAAGGCTGTCACATCCATACTAGATCGGCGTTCCATACTAGATCTGCGATCACGTGGTCCGCACAAAGATCCAGAGTCTCCAATGGCGGCTTGAGAGAGAAATTCTGCAGAATCCGATGTGATCCTCTAAGCCAAGAAGAGAATGAGCAGAGTAAGAGAAGACCCTTTCTTCAGAATCTGTTGAGGCGGGCACACCACATCCAGCAATCGCCATCAATCATCATCATCGTGTGTCCACTCTACTACAACCGTTCCAAGTTCTGCTGGGATACACAGTTGCCTTTAATTTCTGGGAGACATGACATGTTTTCATTGCTACTACATCGGTCCAGGTGACCATCCAACGGTCAGGTGCCATTGATCAGATTCAACAAACTACTATTTCATAATGCTTAATAAACCGATCGATGTTCTTGCAAGAAGAGGAACCTGACTGAGACAGCACTGCAAGATGGCATGGGGAAGCCGACTGAGACATGTCTCAGTCGGCTCCCTCACTGCGAATCAGGAAGTCGACTGAGGCATGCTCTCATCCATCTGAGTCATCACATCAAGGCGGTGCCATGGGGTGATACCTCCCACCTCCTTTCATCCCCTTTCACCCCTGTTACCCCTGCCACACTCCTGTTACACCCCTTTTGCAGCCCCGTCACACCGTGTCACATCCTGTCACCCCTTGGTAACCCCTGTCACTGGTACGTTCCTGTCACACCCTGTCATCCCCTCCCACCCCCTCCCACCTGGGATCACACCCCCATAACCTGAAGAGTGGGGGCAACTGGGAGAGTTGATTCCACCCCTGCGATTGTTCAATCAAGTCTCCTCGAAGGGAGTAGAGTAGAGGAGCTGCCATGGAGTCTCAAAGCACACTGGTCACATGACGATGTCGTCCATCACTACATTTGGGTACAACTGCCTTTTTTGTGAATAAGTCCTGCCAACCGTAGTAGTAGCGGTATCATTAACGCATGGAAGGGAGGCACTAGGTAAGTTTCTCAATCGAAGAAAAGGATGGATTGGATTTGTAATAATGCGCACTGTAAGTGTCTCCTATCGTCCAGAAGACTTGTGGACGGGAATGCCGTAGTACTTGCAAGCTACTATGGCACATCAAAAAAGAGGATGTTATGGTGCCCTTTTTTCAGGCTCCATGTCAGGTGTCAGAGACAGTTCTAGCCAATATATAGCTAAGAGAGTAATGCAAGAAAATAGTAGAAGGGGGAGAGGGGGAACCAAAATCACGACCTCCCCCGTGGAAGAGGAGGCAAAGCTAGGTAGGTAAGAGGAGGGAGAATGGCAGGGGAAGGGAAAGCCAGGAGGAGGAGGAAGCCGCTGCTCCCTTGGAGGAGGGGGGAAAGGTAAGCAAGCAGGAGAAGGGAGAATGGGAGGAGGAGTAGGCAAGAGGAGGGACTAGGGAGAATAGGAGGAGGAGGAAGCTGCTACGGTCTCCCTCGGAGGAGGGGGGAAAGATAAGCAAGCAGGAGGAGGGAGAATGGGAGAAGGAGGGATCTGCTTCTGTTTCCCTTGGAAGAGTGGCAAAAGCTAAGCAAGCAGGAGGGAGAATGGGAAGTTGGGAGAAGGAGGGATCTGCTGCTGTTCCCCTTGGAAGAAGGGCAAAAGCTAAGCAAGCAGGAGGAGGGAGGATGGGAGGAGAAGTGGTCTGCGTCTGTTTCACTGTTCCTTCCAGGTTCTTCCAGTTCTGCAAAGCTTTGCTATTGTTCATTACCAGGGCTTCTTCAACCTGATTTGGTCTTTTGCAAATTTTGGATTTTCAGTTTGTCTTCATTTCTCCTTCCCTCCCTCCTTGTCATTATTTGCTTTTTTCAAGTTTTCTTCTTCCTCCTTTTTTCCTGTTTACCCTAGAGGCTTGGACTTCAAAGAGATGGAATGCAATCTACAGCAAAACTTGATAACAGAACTGGAAGACTCAACAAACAAGAAAGAAGCCACTCCCCTTCTCTTCTTCTTCCTCCTCTTCTTCTTCCTCCATCTCTGCTACCAATAGCCTTCTTGCTACAGCTACTTATTTTTCTTTCTTTTTTTTTGAATCTTGCAACGTCTTTTTTTTCTTCTGGTTTTTGGTTCCTTTTAACTTCATCAGTTCATTATTCCTTCTTTCTTCTTTCAGATTCCCAACTTCAGAATCCTTGATGGAGGCGATGCGGAACGAAAATAACGGCCAATCCGGCGATTCCCCATTAGTTTCCTGCAACCTCTTTTTTTTTTTTTTTTTTTTTCTTTCCCAAAAACCTGCGACCTCTACTAGAGGGGGTGACAAGAGCAGCCGCCTCTAGTAGCTGTTTCTGGTCGCTCCATCTATTGGTGGGAAAGTTTTCACTCCTCCCAAAAGTCATTACTTGTTCTTTTCTGTCTTCTTTCAGATTCCCACTCCTAAGTTAAAATTTGCCGCGTTGTCTTCCTTCTGTTTTCTTTCAGGTTTTTCGCTTCTTCTTGGTTATTGCTGGCTGTTTCTTCTTCGTGCAGGTTTTCACTCCTACAAGTCTCCGAGAGTCCAACTAGCTTAACATATTACTTTTTTCTTTCTTCTGTCAGATTACCTATTCAGATTCCAGAAAGATTTACGGACAGCGTGACAACGAGAGACAAAGACTGTTCGCAGTTAACTTCAGCTACTGTTTATTCTTTCTTCTTATTAGATTTCCTGTTTTGGAAAGTTCGACCGGCAGGCTGCTAAACCGAAGTTCGATGGGCGGCCTGCTAAACGGAGAAATAACGAACTGCTTGTTCTTTCTTCTCTAAGAAAGATTTCCTATTTCAGACAGTTCGATGAGTGGACTGAGAAACGAAAAACAATATTGAACGTCACCCTCAGGGTCGACTCCCTCAAGGCATACTCGCACCAGGACTTTCCTGGACATATCTGACCGGAATACCACCTTGACCTGGAGGTATCTGACTGCAATTACGTCCAGAGCTCAGTCGAAAATGTCATAGTGTTAGTA